TTTTTTTTTTGAAAAAGTGGACATAGCGAATAGAGTGAGTATAGAGTATATATATAGAGTATATAGAGTAGCTATATCTATCTTTTTTTATTTTTTTATTTTCTTTAGGATAACATAGCCACTGAGGATGCGAAGTATGTGAATCTTTTGATGAAGCTTCACGTTCTTGTTGTTCCTGTTTTTCAAATCCCTGTGCAACTGCGATGTGGAATTCGCTGTACAAATCCATATACAGCTACATATTTTCGTGCCAAATAAAGAATTCTACTTTCTTGTCTGTAATCATTTTTTATGAGTAGAACATCTGCATATTTTGTATATCCGAATTGTATGAGCTATTTCGCAGTGGTGTTTTGCAATAGTCTTGAATTTTGCATATCGAATTGTAGGCTATTTCGTAGTGAAGAAATTCTAGGAATAAGAAGGTAGGCTTTCTCAAAATTTGAAATCTCAGTATGGCAGTCACTTCTTTCAGATGAAAAGAAATTTTGATGAAGTATCTATCTCGTTGAACGACAATGAGAAACATTTTTTAATTGATTTGGTCGAGAAACAACCAGCGCTCTGGAATGAGTTAGAATCTAATTACAAGAATCTCCATTGCCGCTCTGTGGCATGGAGGGTTGTTGCAGAGGAGATGTCAAACAAGTTCGGACGACAGTATGATGGTCAGCTATGAAGTCCCCAATTCGAAACTGCTGGATGTGTTTCTTTCAGGCCGCCTGCTTCAGAAGAACTTCAAAAATCTTCGAGATACTTATGTTCGCAAAAGGAGGGAGTACGAAGACGTGCTACGGAAAAAAAGCGGTATCGAGTCTGGATTGCGCGAGAAAATTGCGTCGTGGCCATTCTTCGTACAATTACGTTTTATCGACCCACCGGACGATAACGACGGGTTCGTTACCATATGAAATTCAAAAAACCGGTCTTACATGTTTTAGAATCCGTTATTGCAATATCGAGTCTGAAGAAATTGAACTTGTAGAAGATATTGGCACTAAGGAACCGGTGGGTGTCCTATCAATATCA